TTAGGTCTGAGTAAAGGTGTGGCTAACGGAGGGATGGCTCAGTTCCAGGAAATGATGCGGCAGCAACTGGAGAGCTCCATGCACGATGAGCTGGAGAAGCTGCTGGACACCACCACAGGGGCTGAGCGAGAGGTACACCAACTGTTTGCTTCGCTGTCTTTCTCCCTCCCTCTCTGACCATCTGGTTGTGATTCAGAGGGTGGTGGGGTCACAATGCTGGGAAAACACAAAAAGTGACACATACTGGAGCACACTGCCAAAAAGGGTTCCACCTACATATCTCATAACACTTTAGCAGCCAAACTTCTTAAGCAACATTCGCCCATTTTTGTCTGGTTTTATTCAGACATAATACGTCAGCAGAGGGGTGCAGGCCCTAAAAGACTAGGCAGATTTTCTCAGTAGCCCTAAATGAACCCGAGTGAGCTCTTTTCAGCCCACAGCACCAACGTAAGACTAAAATCCAAATTAAAATGGCAGCATTAACACTCTACAGACTCGTCTTTCCGCTGTGTGATTTCTTTGGTTTTAAACTAGCATAAAACATGGGACAAAACTGGAAATAAACGCACAGTGTTTAGCAGTAAACTATTTCAGGCATTAACCAAACCTTGTTTAACTGCAAGCAATCAGGGACTAAAACACTCAGAGTAAAGAGGTGAGAAGTCGGTCACATGCAGGTGTGAGCGGTAATTCCCACACACTTTCAAATATATTAACAGGAATCGCTTTTGTACTTGCTGTAACTTATACGTATAAAACGCCATGTGCACGCATACACACACAATGGGTTACTCATTGAACTTTGAAGGTCTCCAGTGTAATTGGATACCAGTGTGAAAGTCGAGACAGTGACGGCCACCTAAACTGATATTTGCTCCACATTGGGTGTTTGACTTTTTTTCATCACCCATAAATGGGACTTTTCCTTTTCTTTTCCTTTTTTTTTAAATTAAAAGATGAAAAAGCACAAAGCTACGTGGCACGTGACAAAGTCTGGACTGTACAAATCCAAATATTTTGTGTAAAAGCAAACAAAAATGTCAGTTTAATTTCAATAAATCCAACCAGCTATGTGTGGCTGAAATGAAGCAATTATACTGTAGATTTCACTTTTTAAAATAAGATACACTTTGTTATTATTCCCACTAGCTGGTGAAGTTTAGAATGTATAAATACATGATTCTTGTCTTTGATGTCCAGATGCTGTTTCATCTGTTTGTGTGCACATCTGTTAAAGTTATGTATAAAATAGTTTCTGAAGAAAAGTTCAAAACAAATTTCATATAGTCACAGTGGACCAGACAAATTGTATCAAACCTTCAAGTAAAACAATTAATGTGTATTCGGGACAAAAAAAGGGTGTTTAAATATTTTTCGGGACCTTGGCTATTTTGTTAAAAATATAATAACTATATGATTAAAACAAATACAGATTAAGGCTTCAAATGTGGAAATCTAAAAAAGGTCCTTTGCTGCAGTTTTGCACCATACTGTTGTGCTTAAAGAATATGCTAAATCACCCACAGGAAAGAAATAAACAGTTTTTAAATGAAGTTCACGCCCGTAAATTTGCATAGAACAATAATGATCCTTTTTATATGAGAGGTATGGGGCCTTTGAAGCACACTGCTTAATGTGTGTAACAATCCATGAAACTGAGACCAAAATTGCAATACAGACGTCTACAATGTTGTATCGCGAATTCTCAGACTCATCTTTTATATTTAAAGCTTTCCAGTATGACTTTGATGAATGGAAGTTTTTAAATTCAAGACACCAGCCCCATTTAAAGAAACCGTAAAATGCCTGTAAAATTAAGTATAGTGGTTTTAGTCAAACCATTTTCCCAAGGCGTGCAGCTTCTCTTCTGCCCTCAAAACGATAATACTCTGAAATAACTGAGGCAATTTCAGAAGTGATTTTCAACATTTTCATGTCTTTCTAGAAACCACTTCATATTGACTTTGCAAACCTCAGCCTTAGTTTAACCTCCTAGGACCTGGCGTCCACATATGTGGACATCACATTTTGGGTTATTTAGACCAAAATACTCAATTTTGCTCTACAAGGGCCTGATATCCACTTACGAGGACATTATACTGCTAGTGTTCTATCAAAATTTTAAACGAATATCCTCATGTGGCTCTTATTTTTCTTAAAAACAAAAATAAGGTAAAAAAAAAAATCTGGTAATTCTTTGTTTTTACATTCATCGGGCCCCAATGTGCCCAAATATCAAAGAGAAATTAAAAATGCATGTCGTGGAAGAGCTCGGGTCTTAGGAGGTTAAGATAACATCTTTGTTTTTCAGGTATCCAAGAAAGACTTTGGGGGCTTCAAGAATCTCTTCCATAGATTTCTGCAGGTGAAGGGACCATCAGTGGAGTGGATCAAGATACAGCGACCTCCAGAAGACTCTGTAAGTCTTCTTTTTTTGGTTTTAGCGGTTAATTGTATGTTTGTCTGTGTCGACTCTGGATTTGTCTTTGTTTAAAATATTAAAGCATCTATTTTCCTTGCAGAAGGGGGCATTCGACCCCACAGCAATGGTAGATATGTCATATATTAAAAAAGTAGCTGATATTGAATACAGAATAAAATAACTTCTAATCGGTGGGTTGTCGGATTCGATTTGATTTTACCCTTACCACTGAAAGTACAAGTGAAATGAGGAAATACGATTTTGGTGATGAATTCACTATTTGTGAGATTAAGTGACACCAAAAGATTGCAGTGATAAGTTCTTCTTTTCAACTTGTGAAAGCATCGCTCATTTCAATCCCAGATATTCGTCATTCACTGTGATTGTGGGGGAAAAACCATTTAAACAGTTGGTGTTTCGCAAGTTTTAATACCAGCGCGTTGGTGTCGTTAAACCTGTCGTGAAACCTGCATTTATATTTCTGCACAGCGACGTTTTCCTAACAACGCCTAACACAGTCGGTAATAAAGTTTGTTTTAGTGCTTCAAGAATCTGTCTGATGTGTGACTAACATTACTCAGCAGCTTCAGAGCTGTTGGATGAGCTTGCTTTGGAGCTCTTTATAACAATGGCAAGAATAGACGATTGTATTAGTTTGTTTGCCTAAAAATGCACCGCTTAGAAAATTACTTTTACACTCTGGACAAACTAGAAATTCAGCTTGCCTCAAGATTTACAATGAACTAAGGAGTTCCTGCACCAATGAAAACCTTTGTTAGAGTCAACAAAGAGAGAGAAAACAGATGTGTGGTTCTCATCAGCTATTATTTTCACCTCCACCAAGGAGGTCATGTTTTTGGTAGCTTTTGCATGTGTGTCACTCTGTCTGTAAACAGGATGGCTCGAAAGGTTTTGAGTGAATTTTGATAGAACCTTGTAGGGGCGTGGAGTGAAAGCATCTTAACAATCCATTCAAATTTGACTTGCATCCACTAATGTGTTCAAGGTCCACATAATGATTAATTTGCATAAAAGTGACAGTAAACCTTGTGACTTAAAACCTGTGATTCTTACAGATGCGGCGTGTATCGTCAACATATAGAAAGTTCTATATAAGGATTGGAAATGTCATGTCACATTTGACCACACGCACACACATTCAAGGTCAGATAGATTGGACTCAAGGTCAAAGTGATAATAATGTTATTCAGAGCTATTTAAAACTGTTTCTTACTGCCATTGTTTATACTGACAACATATAGAAGTAGAAGGAATGATATATGGAATATCACATCATTTTACAAACATATTTACTCAACAATGAAATGAACACCACACACAAAACACAAAATTAATGTATAGAATAATCCAAGTCTGTAAACAGAGGGCATTTTTTTTGGATGATTGAGTGACCAAAATTCAAAGTGGGTGGTTTCAGATTACACAATTACACAGAATAGGTTTCCTTTTCTTGCTAAACTTCTCTGTACGCTTGCAGGCTGCTGCATAGAAAGTGCTTAGGTGTTGTCAGCTAGCACCGGGGGACACTGTAAAATATACGGATCAACCAGTAATTTTTTTTTTGTGTGTGTGTGGTTGGTTGGTTTGTTGTTCCCCCTCTTGTCTTAAAAAGCGTAGTGACTTTGTGTTCAAAAAACTAACATGGTGGAAACCTGAATCATTTTTCCTTTCATTAACCCTTAATGGGCCAGCAACACAAGACCTTTAGAGTCCTTTGTGCTGTGCCTTTGCCTCTAGCTAGCTCCAAGTACCACACATTTTCTTAGTGGGGTTTCGTCTTTCTACACTTTAAGGATAGTCTTTGTTCTCTTCTATGTGTCATCCACAAATGACGTCAAAGCCTTACTGTTGAAACTGAAAAGTCAGATTTTTCTTCTTTGTAACGGCACTCGGGACCTCCAGCAGTTCTTGAGCTGTAGAAAGACTGTTCTTCTCTTGATCCCATGCTTTGACATCTAAATCTGGACCACTGTGCTTGGTAATGATGACTTCACTATTCCAGGTCCAAGTATGACTGACTCGGCACTGGTTACATTGATTCTTGTAATTGTCTTATTGTCCATCATATAGGATGTTGGGGCCTACTTGTGATCGGGTGTTTTTTAGCATCATGATCTAATCCTGCATCTGCTTGATTGTAGTGGTTGTGAGAAAGCAGAGCTATATCATCCCAGTGTGTGCCAGTGTGGTGTCTACGTCTGTTTTATACAGTCTATAAGTGCACCTCCATAGTTTGCTTGTCTGTTTGTAATCCTTCTTTCTGCAAACGAACACCAGTGCAGTACTCCTGGCTTTACTTTATTCCATTACAGTAAAGCCATTACAGTAAGATCCATTATAATGTAATCTTGGTGACTGTTAACATTTTTAGACACAGGGTTATCTTATTAGAATGATTCTAAAGAAATGGTAATGGACCACTGTAGACTTTACAAGGATAACACCCACATTTCTGAGCTGTTTGTTTGTATCCTGAAGGCCCCCTCGTGGATTGCAGTAGTCAGCCTCTTTCTACTGTGGATAAAACTACAGATGAAGTTGACCAGCTTCTCTTTTCTACCACTCTGTGATCAATGACATGGGTAATTTCTATCTAACTATACCTAGTGCCCTTTATTGAGCACATATCGTTTTAACAGGGGACTTTAAAATAGCTGTTAATTTTTGTTAGCATTTACACCTCTAACTCTACACTGTCGTCTTAGCAGGAAACCAAACAAACCAACCACACCAGCCAGAGGACGTCATCATGGCGCTAGTGTGCACCAGTCACTTTACATAGTCAAAGTGTGAAACTGTCAGGGTGTCTAGAGGTTGTTTCTCTTTCACCAAAAAAAAAGCCCACTTTGTAGAGCTTCGATGGATGCCTTTAGTGCTCCCCTCCAGTTTCCCCAGTGCTGCATGTTTTTGTGTTAACTTAATAGTGCAAGATTGAAGTTTAGTTTAATCTCAAAAGGAGGATCTTTGAAATATAAACACTCCATTTTCGTTGAGCTGTTGTTGAGCAGTTAGGAGCAGCGCCTGAGTGCAGCCAGTGAGCAAATGGATCTGCAGAATCAGATGAGTGTGAGAGTTGGCTTTCAGTCTGCGTTCTCTTTGGAGAAACTCTGTGGAAGTTAATCTCTCTCTTTCTCTTTTGATGGAGTGGAAAGTCTGACTAATAACAGAAATGAAAACTGCAGTAATGAATTGTTGAGCTGTAAGATGAGATTGCACAAACATGTTAAGGCAAAACATCAGACCTTGTGAAACACAGGGGAAGAAAAAAGAAAATTTAAATGATGAATTAGTTGGATTAGATGCTCATTTACAAAAGCATCAATGTCAGCAGCAACGTGTTCACCTCAATTTGACACATTTAGCCTAGCAGGGTGTCACAATCTAGTGTTCTGGTGCTGGTGTTGTGCCAAAAAAGGATTACTGGTATTTGAACTTTGGTAAATGACTTGTTGACCTATAATCTGTCAGAAAAGATTATAGGTCATTTCTGAGTTCTGGCCAAGAGGGCAGGAAAAATTGCAAAACATAGCATAGCAGCTCTATAAATGTGTTTAGGCAAAAAAAGGTTTGATTGCTTTATAATTTAGCTATAAGCATATTTGCACAACAGCTCGTTTTTTTTATTCTATAACCTTTTTGTAAGTCCTGTCGTCTACTGTGTATTTACCAAACAAG